GATAATTTAGATCCACCAAAAATCCAAAATCTCTCTAAATATAATCCAAGATCTTTCTATAATTGTTTGATCCAAAATCTCTCTATAATCATTTGATTAAATTAATTAAACAACTCGTTTTAGCTTATACATAACTCTTGCCCTAATATTTGAAACTCATAGAACTTTAAATTTCTATAAGTTCTTGTATATTATATTGTTTGTTACTTAAGTACTAAATGCGATGTTCAATAAGTTTTCTCTCAAGTTGGGTTTGTTAGTAGATGATATTTTTCATGAGGCTATCAAGTCTTGAACGAGAGTCATAAAGATTGTTTGTACCTAGAGCCATATGTGCGTAAAGAATTTGCTCAATAAGGAGGTAGGTTGTTGAATTTTGATTGGTGCAGAATTATTTATCAATTTCGCTCAGAACAATTAGTCAATTTTATTAATTAAATAAATGTTGCAATCAAGTAATACTAGATAGATTTGTTGAAAACAATCTAAGATTAAATAAATTTTTAGTTAATTTTATGTGTCTATTTTTGTTGTCAAAATTATTATGGAGTTAAACCTAATTTTCAGACAGGGATCCTAGGAACAATAGCTATCGGCCCTAGGTACAATTAAATAAAGCTAGGGCCACTATTTTTTAACCCCTTCCCCATGACAAATTTTTATAATTTAAATCATTATACCTTTATTAATACAAAGTAATTAGTATAGAGATGTGATATCAGTTTCACCATTTTTAGACAGGTTTTGGGCCTTGAATTTGGGCATTGAAAAAACCGGCCCAAGGTACACAAACTTCCCCTACTGTTTCAAGATTTTTTTCTACCAATTTTATGCTTAATGGTGCTTTTTTTTTAGCTGCAAAATGTTAACAGCTGTATTAGAAAAAATTCTCACACATTCTCTGTTAGTCTTTAAATAATAAAAGTAATGCAAGATTTGTTAATGATGAATGTAATCTAAGAAAGATTTTTTTATGTACAATAATTATTTATTCTTCTTAACTTTTGCTTCTACTTTAGCTGTAGTGATGGCTACATTTTAATTTAGTCTTGTTAGGAATTCTTTTTGTTGAAGTTACAGATAAAAGTTTTTCTACCATTTTTTTCAAATATGGTAAAAATTAATGTATTGCATTATTGCATAATTATGCAATACATTATTTCTAAATTAATTTATTACATTATTATTTATTAAATTGCAAAATAAACATTTTTACACAATTTGCATTAAATAAACTAGAAAATGTTAACTTTAAAACCTATATCTAGGATATGCATTAAATAAACTAAAAAATTTTAACTTTAAATTTTTTTTCTTAGATTTGTATTAAATAAACTAAAAAATAGATTGGTTGTTAGTGCTTTAACTGCCAATCTTAAATTTAATATCAAGTGCATACCTTATAAAGAAATTATAAAAAAAATTTTGCTTGTCATTAAGTCATTGAAAGCAATCATTAAAAATTGTGGTCACACTTGTAAAAATTGTTTGTATCTAAACAAGTTTTTTTTTTATTGATGAAAATGAATTTCTTTACAAATCATTTTACATAAATGTTTTATCAAAAATATTTCATGTAAAATCAAGTAAATAAGTATTAGTTTCTCACAAACTCAACAAACATAATTTTATACTCTTGGTACTAGATTAGTGAGTATTGGTTATCGCGTCTGGAAGTATTAAATATTTTTTTTGCTTAGAGTGATTGCTCTTGCTTTATAATAAGACCTGAATTTTAATATTATTTATAAATAAATGATATTAAAATTCAATTTAAATTTTGCTCAAACAAAAAATGAAAATTGTAAATTTAAATTTTTGCATGTTTATGCAAATTGCTATTTGTATGTTTTAGGTTTATGAATATATATGTTCATATAACCAGACTGGTATATATAAAGTATATGGGTTTATATGATTTTCATTAATTCACATTTTTAATGAATTTTAATAATTAGGATTGAAAGATGGTGTTGAATCTTTAAAGCAGGAATTAGAACAATCAAATTTAAAAGAAAATACCCAATTTATTGTTCAACAAGTTGTAGAGAAGTTTTCTTCATCAGAAAAAGACACAAAACATGATCAGATATATGGTCAAAATACTAAAAACTTTCCAACAATTGAGGAACAAGTTATTGAATCTAGACATGACAGCAAAAAACAAAATTCATCAGATCATGATAATTATGAAAACAAGAAAATACACAATGATGGTAAAAAGGAAGAAAATAATGATGGTAATCTTTTTGAACATAATTATTTTTTATATATCTTTATTTGCAACTATATTGTATATTTGCAACTATATTGTATGTAACTATATTCTATATAGTTGCAAATAAAGCTAAAAACAACTTATAAGTAGGGATGGCAATCTCGCGATCCCAAAATTGTATATACAAAAATGTATATATATAATTAAAGTTAAGAATATAAATTAATGTATACCTTCTATTAAAAACTCTTTGCTATTTTCACCAGCAAGTGCTTATATTTTTTTTATTTTTTTAAATATACTAGTTTTAATATTATACTATATATAGTATCTAGTATCTATCTACATTAATTTAATTTTTTTATATATTTTTACTAATTTATTAATGCTCTGTTCTTTAAGAACATTAAGCGCTTTATTTGTAGAATACACTAATATATATATATATATATATATATATATATATATATATATATATATATATATATATATATATATATATATATATATATATATATATATAAATATATATATATATATATATATATATATATATATATATATATATATATATATATATATATATATATATATATATATATATTGTAGAATACACTAATATATATATATATATATTGTAGAATACACTAATATATATATATATATATATATATATATATATATATATATATATATATATATATATATATATATATATATATATATATATATATATATATATTGTTGTTTATTATTGTATCTGGTTGAGATACAAATCCTCTTGTTAACTTGAGAGTGATCAATATAATGTAAAAGCAATTTTTACAAAATAAATCAATATATATATAAAGTATAGTTAAATAGAAAAATACAACTTTATAATGAAACTAAAAGTTTCATGCCTATTGGCAATCTCCAGCCATATATATTATACAAATCAAGAAAAAAACTGTTAAAAAATACAAAAACAGCATTAGAATGAGTTCCGATGTTAAAACAAAACAAATAAAAAAGAAGCATAGTAGTAAACCTGCTAATCGCTATGTCAAATTGGGCAAGAAGAAATTTGTTTTTATGCCGGCACTTAGATAATATTTCACTCTTTTTATTTAACAAATTTGGGTGTTTAAAAAATAAAATTTTGTACTTTTTGTTTATGCATAAGTTGCATCGTTTTGTTACAGGATTATAGGCATTGCACTGTTTAATTATTTTCCACCTAACAATCGGGTTCAAGTTTTCATTTTTTAATCTCCAAATCTCCTTTGATAATTCAGTGTCATTTTTGTATTTGGGAATTTTAAAAGATTTTATGTGATCAGCATATCTAGTTTTAAAAGATGTTTCATTATGCCAATGTAAAATTTATTGATGGGAGTTTGAACAAGATTGTTGGAACATACATTAGCTTGATATACTATATTTTTTGTTAAGCATTGGTTTGATAAAGGGCAGGTGTTTTTATCTATGCAATTGCAATTGCTTTTAACTGATTTTTTCTTGTTGTTTATAACATGACGATTGTGGGTGTTTAAGACGGATTTTATATTCGGCATACAGCTATAACTTACTTTTAATGTGTTTCTGTTAAAAAGTTTGAGAAACTTTGAGGAACTTGTGATTAATAGGGAAGTGCTTATTAATTAATTTTAAAAATATTTTTCCTATATTTGTGCTAACGTTTTTGCTAAAAGGGGAGTTGAACCAAATGATGTTACGTTTATGGTTCTTGGTGTGAGATAATTCTAAGTTAGGTTGGTAAGAAAGAATTTAATTAAAACCGAACTTTTTTAATGCTTCATTATATATAGGAGTGGATTTTTGAAAGATTTCCTCGCTTGACGAATTTGCTGATAATCTTAATTCAATAGAATGCGGGAGTTGCTTTAAAATACTGGATGGATGGTTTAAATCAGCATGAATGTAGTTTAAAGAGTTTCTGGGTTTAGAGTAAGGTTGGTAGGTGTGGTTGTTGAGGTTTATTGTAATGTCCAGATAATTTACAACTTTTATGTTGCACAGTGTTGATATCAGAGTGTTAAGATCGCTCGATTTAAATATTTCAACAACATGTGTTTTAATTTTTTCCATATGGGGATCACTGATGTTTTTAAAAATGGCTAAACCGTCATCACAGTATAACTCGAAATCATTCTTATTATAAAGCTGCGTAATCTGAAATAAAAGAAAAATCCTAACTGCTTTATAACATTAAAAGACTACAAAGAAAATTTTGCAATCAATCCAACAGTTCGATTATTAAACCCTGCCAAAAATGAAATCAGCAGAATTAGTAAAATTATTCTTTCAAACATAAATTCTGAACTTGTAAAAAGACTCCATCTCATTCAGTGGAAAAAAACACAAGATGTTATATGCTGGTTCAAGTCCATCAGTGATCCAAATCTTTATAAATTTCTCTTTTTTGATATCATTGATTTTTATCCCTCAATAAGTGAAAAACTACTTAAAAATGCTAGGTTTGGAGATTAAAAGATGAAAACTTGAACCCGGTTGTTAGGTGGAAAATAATTAAACAGTGCAATGCCTATAATCCTGTAACAAAACGGGCTGAAGATAACCGATAAGCATGAAACTTTTAGTTCCATTATAAAGTTGTATTTTTCTATTTAATTATGTATAAATAATTATATATATATAATTACATATATATAATTATATATATACAATTATATATATATATATATATATATATATATATATATATATATATATATATATATATATATATATATATATATATATATATATATATATATATATATATATATATATGCTTCCAAAAGTGTGCGCGATTTTAATTCTGTTTTTCTATCCGTTCATTTTAATTTCAAACATACAAGTGATAGAAGTTCTATTTTTATTTCCATTGATTTATGAAAATGCGTGATTTACCAAAGTTTTTTTATCGTCAATTTAATTAATAAAGTTATTAAAAAAGAGAAAGTTTATTAAATTACAAAATTTTCTTAGCATCTGTTTAATTAATGATGTCATGCATATTTATACTATTTTTTAATTATTATTTTTATTTATACTGACTAGTATTGTTTTATAATTTAAGATACTTAGGTTCATTACTTTTTAAAAGTCTTAGATAAGTTTTAATACAAAATTCAACTTAATTTTAGAGGTTTATTAATCCATTGAATATTTTAGTTATATTATCATTAAATTAATAATTTTTAAGCATTTGATGAGTCTTAAAAAGTATTCAATTGCGTTTGCTTTTTTTTCTATTCAATCTCGGGGACAAATTTTTCAATCACGAAATCCCGGGATTGAAAATTTCCAGGATTTTTGCCATCCCTACTTATAAGTAAAAAGAGGTAAAAGTAGTGAAAAAATGCAGCTTTCCTATATTTGCTTTTTGTTTTATTTTTATTTTTTATTAATAAACATTTTTTTAGAAATTACACAACACTGAAATATTGAGTATTAAAAGTTAACCACTAAAATGCATTATCATTTCAAAATTGTAAAATGATTTTTAATCATTGTATATAGTCATTTTAAAGCATCTTTTAATAATATACAATCTTTTATTTTTATTTCAAAGCCATATAATATAAATATGAAAATTTAAATGTAGATGCAGTTTGGATGTGGAATGCAATATATAAATGGTGTTCTCAAGGCAATCTGAATGAACTAAAAAAATTTTTTGAAACTAGCTCTAACAGTAAAAGCGAGCTGCATCAATCTTATTTTCAAGATAACAGAGAACATCAACCTAATCCCCAATATGACAGTAAAAGTAAGGAATACCAATCTTGTTTCCAAAATGACATTGATAATAAAGAGTACCAAAGTTCCCAAGATGGACAAAATAGTGAAAATAACAAGTTATTTTTTTATCCACATATAAACTATCTTTCAGTTTCTAAAAACAGTACTTTGCTTCAACGAGCAATTGTTACTGGCAGTCGAGAAATAGTAGCACTACTCCTTGATCTAGGTGCAGATCCATCCATAAGGTAAGGTTAAAACCTTTGCGAAATTTTTTATGTTTTCAAAAGATTTTAAAAGATAGTTCTTTAAGTTGATTCATAATTTAATAACACAAATGATTCTATAATTTAGTAACACAATTGGTCAACTCCCATATGACCTTGCTTCAAAAAACATTCGTAGAGAATTTCGAAGGTTTCGATATGATCATCCAAACAAATATGATTATACTAAAGCTAAGGTAGATGTTTACATGTTTACATGTTGTAGTTTTTAAGTTAATTTGTTCAGAATTTAAATAAAATGTTTGTTTTGCTGTTTTATGTGAATTGTTATCATGGGTAGGAAGAAGGAATCTTTTCAATATTTAACATAAAAAAGATGATTTCTGTCTATATCATGGCATCAACCTAGCAATATTTTAAAGCAAAAGCAGATGGATAGAGGATTGCAACCACAACTATAAATAGCCTCATCGACTGTAGTGGCCTTTTTGACCTTAGTGAGCTGAATAAACATTAAAAAAAAAAGGAAAAATTTTAAGTAATGAAGCCTTTGAAGTATAACATGTGATACATAAGTTATTGGGCAAATTTTAATTTTTCTTGCTAATTAAACAATCAATGTATATGTATAAAAAATTTATGAAACGTTTATTTTATTATTTAAAACAAATTTACTAAAAATGAGGTTAAGCCAGCAGAACGAGAATTTTTTCAAAAACATCTCAAACATTTTTGTAAAAAACTGTAATATTAAAAAAAACTGGGTTTTAACTTTGATGTAAATCAATTGAGAATTGGTTGTCAATTTAAAAACTAAATATTCAATACAGATAGGATAAGTTAGGGAATTTTGGGCTGAACATTTACAGTAAACATTATAGAATATAACCAAACAGCCACCAAAAGTATAATGAACTCAATTTAGGCAGCCAACTTGTATATCTATAAAATAGTAATAATTAAGCCAATTATTAAATACTATATTTTATTATTTTTTTGTTTTCGTTATGAATTGTTTTTTGGATAGTTTGCACAATTTTGTGCAAGTTGACGAAGTAAAATTTAATTTCATGCATTTTTTTTATAAGTTAAATTTAACAGATTTATTCAAGATGCAATACTTAATTCATATATAGTTTTTTGAAAATATTTTGCTAGTGATTAAATGTCTGACTTAGAGTTGGATTATTTGTTGGAATGTAACGTGGAGCCTGCGGCTGTTTATTTGGCCTAGTGATCGAGCCTGTTATAGGCTCCAGCCTGTTTATAGGCCCTCTTAATTTTTAGGTCCTGTAAAAAGTGATAATATTAAAAAACTTTACAGAGTTATATAAGCTACACCAAAAACCTTTTGGGTGAACCCCAAACATTATTTGTCAAATATTATTCTAAAATGGCACTGAAAATATATCTTTAATTGATGCTTAAAAGAAAACTAAAAAATATAGAAATTTTTATAAACCAATTAAATAAATAACAATTAAGAATTGAACTTAGTCAGATGGATTTACATGGTCTAAATTGAAGAACATAGTCAGATTTATATGGTCTAAATAGCAACGAGGCTGTGATCCTGGAAATATAACTAGAGGTTTTTTGTATTTTCCATCTACGGGTACACAGCCAAGAACTATTATTTGCGTTATTGTGTCAGGGGCTATGTGATTAACATTCTTTATACCCTTTGACGCAATTATTTTCTGCTTTCCCAATGTCCCTGCTAATGGAAACCCTGCTTTGTCCAAATTAAACACTCTACTCGAGTTTTCTAGTAATAGGAACTCTGAAGCGTTTATATGGTGTTCTTCAAACAAATCATTCTCCAAGTCAGAAAACCATCGCCTGATTTGAACATGAGAAACATTTCTGAAATGCTGGTGGCTCAAATTTTCAGGCATTCTTCTTGCAAGATCTGAATGCCTTTTGAAAACCTACCAAATACAAAGTAAAAAAAAAACAGGTTTATCAAATTAAACACATATTAGGCAGATTCAAAACAATCATAGCTCAATCAAAATCTAAAATTTTGATTGAGCTATGATTGTTTTGAATCTGCCTAATATGTGTTTTAAACAACACTAACCTATCTTTTGCTTGGCGGCACTGTATCTGCCATTTATTCTATCACCGATTGTCTGAGAAGGTACAATATATTTTAAACTTGCCTTTCTCCATGAAAAATAATTGTCTCGAACATCAGCAACAGCAGCCATAACAGCTTTGTCGTTATATTTTTTAGGTACTTCTGTCTTTTCTTAGAGTCCACAGTCACGATAATAAACTTGATTAAAAAGTTGTAACTTGTATATTCTACTATGATGATACTATATTTTTAAAAAGTTGAAGTTTGAATTCAAATATTGCTTAGTTAAAAGAAATCCAGCTATGGGTGGGTAATTTTGCAGCTGTTGCTTTAATTTTTTTGTTTTGTCTTAAAAACATCACTTGTAACCTTAAAAACGCTTTTAAAGATAGTTAAAACCATAAATGCATTCAAAATCATTGTTAGGTAAAAATAAAATAATGCACAAAATTTAATACTATGTAAACTAAATTTCGGGCATAATGCACGAAATATGATGCTTTCGATAATTCGTGCAGAAATTCTTGACATCAAAGAAGTATTTGTTTATTATTATTATTTTTTTTTTTTTACCTTTCCAAATATATTCTTTAAACTTGGGTGAACGATTAGTACTACTTTCGAAAAAATGACATACTTCATTTTTGTACAGTTAAGTGTAAAAAGATTTATGTTTTTTCACTTTACGTGAAAAACCGATGTATCGTAACTTATAATAGCTTTTTTAATATAAATATTTGGACTACCGACATAGGTTTGGCAGTAACTTGATGCGGAAAGGTTGTACTAACTGAAATGTGAAACAACACTTTGATTAAATTAGCGTTAATGTGATTTTTTTGATGCGAAAGGCTGTTTGCACAAAATTCGATGCCGCCCGAAATTCGCCAACTTACCCTAACTTAAATACACCATTAAACAATAAATAAAAGCAAAGAAAAGAAGTAGAAAACTTAATCAATTCTATAACTTTTGGTCATTGTTAAAATGATAAAATAAATAGAATAGCTGGACATCGGGTGGATAAGGAAAAATCTGGTCAACTTTAAATTGAAATTTTTCTAAAATCAGAAATGCTTTTTATTTCTTTTATTTTTTAAATTAAACGTAACTTCCTTATCTTTAATTGTGTTAATAAACTTTTGTTTACAAATCAATGATTTGCAAAATGTTTTGGAAACAAATTGAGGTGTGTAAAAAAGTTGTGAATTTTTTTTGCAAAATCCATCAACTTCATATCATTTGGTATCTAAATGTACAAATGTCCTAAAATCTACAATTATAGATATTATAAATTAGTTCAAGACTACTCAAAGCTTCAAAAGAAAACCTGAAATTGAAAGAAAATTTTCTATAAATCCAATTTTACTATGAGAACAAAGATAAACCTGTCGATGATCAATTTACATCAAAAATACATTTGATAATTAAAATTTGCATCCAAGTTCCTTGTGTGGCAAGCAATTTGTAGCTGTGGTCCTCTTGTTTTGTTACTAAGAAGACTATCAATCTCTACATCAAAGAATGCCTCCAAAAAAGACTTTTGCCATTTACGAAAAAATACAAATATCGATGTCTCTTCTGGCCAGATCTTGCTGCTTCTTACTTTTCTAAAAAAGCTATACAGTGGTGCAAAGATAATAATGTAAAAATTGCTCCTAAAGATGCGAATCCTCCAAATTGTCCTGAAGTGCACAAGATTGAAGATTTTTGGGCAATAGTTAAAGGAGTTCTTTGTAAGACAGCTGGAGTAACAAAGTACTTCCGTAAAAAGTGGAATAATCCTAGTAAGCACACATACATCTATTAAACGTCAAAACAACGTTCGATAAAACGTTCAGATTTGGTCGATTATCCGTTTAGAATGAAATCTAGATTAACGTTTAGAACAAACGTTCATAAAATGTCTATATCCAAGCGTAACTCAGACGTCTATTATAGGATTATTATACCTATATAAAGTGTTTAGATTTTGTCTAATTTATGCTTAAATCTAGTCTAATTAACATATATAAAGCATTTAGATTTAGTCTGAGTAAATATATATTAAACTTTTAGATCTTGTCTAATAGTTTCTTTGATTTAGTTAACGTAATTTCAATTTATTCAAGTGTTAAAACTTATATAAATTAAAATTATGTTATAAGTTTTTAACTTTATATAAGTAATAAGAGCTATATAGGTCTTGAAATTTATAAATAAAATATAGTTACAAAAGACCTAGTTTTATTTTTTATAACTATTTTAATATGTTTACAAACTTTTATACTATACTACTTTTACTATACTTTCAAAAAACTATATATAAAGTTATAAACTTATATAAAATGTTTTCATATAGTAAGGATTTAAGGAAAAAAATGTTCGTGCACTATACTATTATATGCTTTGATAATTAAAAAAAATTAAATGATCAAGCCTTTTGCTGTGGAAATTTTATAGTAACAATTTCTATCAAATATTTTAAAAATCTAATCTCATTAGCAGAAAATAAAAGGATAGATTAAGATTAAGTTAAAGATTACTAATAAAATTAATAAACTCATAAACATGTATTTTGGATCACTGTTTTTTCTGGTTTATACATTATCAAAAACCTTCCTAGTATATTGCACCGCTTGTTTATTGTGCACCTGTTTTTGTACTACATCATCTTCTACATTCATATCCAGATTGTCTAATTTTGTAACCTGATTTGTAACGCAAAAAACTAAAGTAAAATAGTTAGCATTTTAAATGTACCTTCATAAATCGAAATTGGAATTACACATAACAACATTGCATATAGAGGATTTTCTGAATGGAAGTTTTCCTAAATTTCCTGTACCATCCATGTTTATTTTTGACATTAAAAAATTAGTAACGCTGTGACATAACATATGCATTGGTTTTTACCAGCTCTGTTCGATCAATTTTCTTCAGCAAATGAAACTAAGTTAAGCTAAAATGCATCTGAAAAAAATATATATATTTAGTTATTAAATCACTTGATTATTGCAAAATGTTACACAATCATACTAGCATTTACAAAATGAGTTTAAACTGTTTATAAAACTTACGAAAAATTATTGCAGCAGGACTTTCATAACGAGAGACCAGCAACTTATTTTTTTTAACTGTGTCACCATCAATAATTTCTAAAACATCGGAGTCCATAGATTTGTCCATAGAAAAGAAATTTTTAACTTCCATGAATTAAAATGGCGCACCCGACACACGTTTATTATTTATTTATCAGTCGTTTTGCTTTCAGTTGTTGTAAGGAAGTGAATCTTGAAAACACATTAAAGTCTAATTTAATTAATTAGCCAATAAAAACTAATTTTTTAATAAGTTTTTTTATTTCATTTTAATTATGGCTATTTAAACTGCGTGACTTAAGGTCTTCTGACCAATCGCTATATAACTATATTATAATATAATAAACGTTTATTAAACGTCAATCAAAAGTTTAAAGTAACAACTTATATTAGTCAATATTGTAAATGTTTGATCGACGTTTAATAAACATATACATTAAAAGATGTAAAGCGTTAAATCTATAAATGTTTACATTTAATTAAGGTCAATTAAAGATATACGATATTGACAAATGTAAGTTGATATTCTAAAAGATAGATTCAAAGCAAAATTGAAATCTATTGCAGATGATGGAGATAATGATTGCAGATGATGGAGTTTTTTTTATACAAAAAAATAACTTATTTTTATTCACAAATAAATACTTTAATTTAGAAAAAAAATCTAAATAATTTTTTATTTATTTGTTTAATATTGAAGTTTTTATTTTGTCAAATAACTTATGCATCACTCGTCAATGTGTCTCAATATTTTTTGTTCTCTCCCAATTTCTTACTTTTCCCACTCCTAACTTAAATAGTGGTTGCTTGCAGCCTTGTTGGGAGTGAGTTAGTTGTAAAAAAAAAAAAAAAAATTCAATTATATTCATATTAACACCCATCATGATGCATTTATTTTTTATAAAGCTTCTTTATCAAGATTTGTGTTTATTGCTACACAGCTAGCAGAAGGTAAAAGGAATAAATACATTTTTTAAACAGTAGCTCCTAGGTTTTAAAGGTGAATTTAACTAAGTTGTTGCAGCCTCCGTGTTTCAACTCTTTTAATTTTTGTATATAGATTGGAACTCCACTGACTAAAGTTGAAGAAGAAAGAAAAAAAGAAACAGATATTAAAAAGAAAAAACTTCAAAATAAAGCTAGAAAAGAAAAACTAAAAGTAAAACATTTTTTTGCTTTTTTGATTTCTTAAGAGTTTTATTAACATATGGGCTCTGCAAAGCTTCAAAATTTTGAATCGAATCAAAAGTATGATTTGAGATAGGATTCGAAAATTTTCAAAAATCGAATCCTTACTTATTTTGTTTTATGTGCGTTTTGGCACAATCAAAATAATGTTACTTATCCTTAAATACCTTTTTAATCAGTCATTAAAAAGGTTAACCAGGGCAAAAAGCATCAATAAAGAGATTATACAGTTATTTTATTTTGAAATATATATTATTAGCTAAAAAATGCTTAAGTTTAGACTTCAAAATGTTGATTCGAAGCATAATTTGAATCGCGAATCAAGACCTGCTTTGATTCGAGATCCGAAACAAAAACTGACGATTCGCAGGGCCCATATATATATATATATATATATATATATATATATATATATATATATATATATATATATATATATATATATATATATATATATATATATATATATATATATATATATATATATATATATATATATATATATATATATATATACATATATATATATATATATACATATATATATATATATATACATATATATATATATATGTATACATATATATATATATATGTATATATATATATATATATATATATATATATATATATATATATATATATACATATATGTATATATATATATATATATATATATATATATACATATATATATATATATATATATATATATATATATATATATATATATATATATATATATATATATATATATATATATATATATATATATATATATATATATATATATATATTAATATATATAATATCTCCTTCTATAGGTTCATCAGAAAAAATGTCTAAACATCAAAAAATTAAAATTATAGAAAAAATATTTCACAGGATTTGTTTTCACAGGATTTGTTTCTCTTTATCGTGCTCGCCATTTCCTTACTTCTGATTCCATTCTCTACCTCTACAAATCTCTTATTCGTCCCTGTATGGAATACTGTTGTCATATTTGGGCTGGTTCTTCTAATGATTCACTTTCTCTACTTGACAAGGTCCAAAAACGTATTGTAAATGTTGTTGGACCTGGACTATCTGCTAAGCTTGAACCTCTTTCCTATTGTCGTAAAGTTGCATTTCTTTCTCTTTTCTACAAATACTATCATGGTCACTGCTCAAAGGAGTTATCATCTCTATTTCCATCAACTAAAATTCATTCTCGTTTTACTCGTCATTCAGCTAAGTCTCATTCGTTTACTGTATCTGTCCCTGCATGCTCTAAAAACTTTTATTCATCTAGTTTTTTTCCCCGCACTTCAATCCTTTGGAACTCTCTCCCATCTTCATGTTTTCCTGACTCATACAACCTTCAACTTTTCAAGTCTTCTGTCAACCGTTTCCTTGCTCTATAACTCTGTTCTTTTTTTTTCCTAGTAACTCCCAACTTAATAGTGGTTGCTTACAGCCTTGTTGGGAGTGAATGCAAATAAAAAAAAAAATATTGTTGCAACTAGAAATTATATTAACTACATTAAATAAAAAAGTTAATTATGAAAAGAATTCATTAGAATTGGGATAATTTTATACTATTTCTTATGAATTTGGCCATTTATTTTTATAATTTTTTAAAAACGTATTTATTTTCATGTCTGTATTTAGAAAATAGTTTAGATTTTTTGTTTAGTAAATTTTCTTGATCCAAATGAGTAATAATTTTAAATTTTTCTTGTAAACATATTACATGAGTTATACAATATACACTATGTTTACAAGAAAAATTTGAAGTTAAGAAAAAGTTGGGAGTTACTAAAAAACAAAGAATAGTGTTAAGGAGCATGGAAACGGTTCAATCCTTGGCCCTATACTTTTTTTTCAATTTACCTTAACAATCTCTCAGAAATTCTCTCATCTAAGATGGCATTGTTTACTGATGATACTACCATTTATTCTGCCAACACTCTCTGATTGCTTGGAGAGGACATTTGAGCTTGAAAAGGATCTCACTTCTGCAGCAGCATGGGGCTCTCAGTGGCTGGTGAACTTTTACTTTTACCTTTTTTTTTAGCTGATTGTTTTTGCAATAATCTAGATCTTCCTATAATCATGAAAAGTAATGTACTCGATGAGTCATCTATCCTTCGTTTTTTAAGATTAACTTCCAATTTTTTTTGGAAACCATATATTTCCAATCTTTCTTGGAAACCATATATCAAATCCATTTCAAAATTAGCTAAAATACTTTTTACTCCAGATTCTATTCTTTATTTTTATAAATTTCTGTCTTTGTATGAAATACTGTTGCCATATCTGGAGTGGATCTTCGAATGGTGCCCTTTCTCTTTTAGACAAGGTGCAAAAACGCACAGTAAATATAGTTGGATCTACTTATGCAGCCAACCTTCAACCATTGTCACATCGTCGTAATTTTACTTCTCTTTCTCTTTTCTATAAATTTTTTTATAAATACTATAATGTGCTATCTACTAAAATAAATTTTAGTAGATAAACAAGAAATTCTTGTGCTATCTACTAAAATTCATTCTTGTGTTACTTGTCATTCAATTAAGTCTCATCTTTTTAACTGTTTCTAAGTGCTCCAAAAATTTTTTTTTGTCTTGTATTTTTCCTGGAACATCAATTCTTTGGAATTCGCTCTTCTTGTTCCTTCATCTTGTTTTCCTGATTCATATAACTTGCAATCTTTTAAGTTATTTGTTCATCGTTATCTTGCTTTATTAACATCATTTTTTCATTCAGTAACTTCCAACTCTAATAGTGGTTGCTTGCAGCCTTGTTGAAAGTGAAGATTTAAAAAAAAAATCAGATTTAGAAGGAGTTGTTGTCCACTGGAATGGACATTTATGACAAAATATTGTAGGTTCAAAAAATGTTAAAATATTAGCAATTTTGATCATCATTAATTTAAAAAGATTTAATAATGATCATTAGTTAAATGAATAAAAACTGAAGAAATTATTATGAATGAAAAGTATGTGTATTAGGGGTATTTATATTATTAAATCTGTAAGAATTATAATGTATACAAAAAAAAATTTAATAAGATCTTCAAAATTTTTAACAAGATGTTTCTAAGATTGATAGAACAAAATTTTGTATCAAAAACTCAAAAAGATCCTGTGTTGATACTTGATTGATCTTGTAAATTGTTTTGACTTCTGTATCAGTTGGTGCCTTATCATTTTGCCATACATGTGAATCATTGACCATTTTTACAAATGTTGGTCTGTGGTTTGATGGAAATAGTGGAAATGGTTGATGCTCCAAACACAAGAATTATAAAATAAGTTTTTAACCATCAAATACAATTTTTTAAATTATTTAATATATAATAAAAAATATTTATAAAATGTTTTTGTACAAAAGGCTTATAGTTTTTTTTGTCTAACTAATTTTTGTGACATTGGTCCAGATAATTTTTAAACTGGTGTGACTAAGCAGACTATGGCTACACTAAGCTAAAATAAACAATCAAAATCAGTATTGGTTTTCAGAAAGCTGTTGGATTTAAGGCGGGAGGCTCTATAAGCACGAATATCATAAGTGTAAGCTGGCCTAAGTGCAAAGCATTACAAAAACTCGCATAAGTGCATATTGGCATAAAAGCGCCGAACAAATGTGCCAACATTGGCATAAGTGCAAAGCAGTTACAAAAACTGGCATAAGTGCAAACTGGCAGAAGTGCGCCAAATAAATTTGCAAACATTAGCATCAGGGCTGTGGAGTCGGAGTGGCGGAGTTGCGACAGTTTTACCGGAGTCGGAGTCGCTAAAAAATATCGCGACTCCGACTCCGATAGTAAAATTTCTTGGTATTGCACGTGCATGTACAAAACATTCAATTAACCTTATGTTCATACTAAACATCAAAGAATGTTACATAAATTTGTCAAAAAAAAATTTCAACTTACCGGGCAATATTTTTTAAAGAATTCAAAAAATTTTTCAAAAATTTTGCTTTGGAGTTGGAGTCGGAGTTGGAGTCGGAGTCGGAGTTGTACTCAAAAAATTTCAACAACTGGAGTCAGAGTCGGAGTCATTACTTTTTTTTTACAACTCCACACCCCTGATTAGCATAATTGCAAACTGGCATAATTGTGAAGCAGTTACAAAACTGGCATAAGTGCAAACTGACATAAAAGCAAATTGGCATAAGTGAGCCAAATAAAATTGCAAATATTGGCATAAGTGCAAATTGGTATATAGCACACATATTTGCACTTATGCCAGTTCGCACTTATGACAGTTTGTACTTATGCCGATGTTTGCAAATTCTTTTTGCACACTTATGCCAGTTTGCACTTGTGCCAGTTTTTGTAAATGCTTTACACTTATGCCAATTTGCACTCACGCCATTCGCACTTATGAAATTCACACTTATTTAGTCGTCCGATTTAAGGTGAGGTATCAAGAGACAAGTATTACTTAGTAATAAGCTTAAACTAGTTTAACTCATTCATTCAACTTTTTTTTTTTTTTTTTTTGCATTATTTTTACTTCTGATTTCTATGAAAAATAGTAAAAAATTGAGTTTTATTAAAATGATTTTTACAATTTTTTTTTTTTTTTTTGATAATTCACCTCCTTAAGGCCAAGAAGGCCACTGCAGGCGAGGAGTCTACTTAATTGTAGTTATAACCCTCTCTCAACTCTATAACTCCCAAACATGAACCTTGACGAACAAAGCCGCTGCGTCGAGAAACAAGTTGACTATTTTTTTTGTATAATTTACATATTATACTCATTTAAAAGGTAAATTTTTATGTTTTAAAAAGTTTAATATTTAACATTATATAACTTTAGTGTTGATGTTATGCACACTACTATTTCATTAGAGTTTTTATTATCTGGTTAAAGTTGATTAAAAATAATTTTAAAAAGTATATATTAATTTTTTAAGTTATGTTTTTTGATAAAAAAATAATTGAAATATATATATATATATATATATATATATATATATATATATATATATATATATATATATATATATATATATATATATATATATATATATATATATATATATATATATATATATATATATATATATATATATATATATATATATATATATATATACACTTGTTTATGTATGTTTGCTTATGAAATTTTATGAAATACTTTAGGAAAGTTTTGGATTAATTGTTTAAACAGAGCAAACATAATTAGGTCAAATGATCTATGTCTTGATAAGAAATTTTTATTTATATATAATATACTTTGATTCTATTTAAGCTTTTTCTATTTAAATAAAATTAAAAACAAATTTCTATATAACAATCTGTTTTCCTTATTTTTTTATTTTTTATTTTTTTTAGTACAAATTTATAAAAATATATTTCATTTACTCTTCATTTGTTAATCTTTTAAATTTTCATATTTTTAGTTGCAAAAAATGCAAGAAGAAGATTTTAAAAAAGTTGAGCAAGAAAAACAAGTATTTGAAAATCTTTCTGATCGAGAAAAAGTAAAAATTTTTCTATTTTATTGCTTTATTATTAGCTGTATAATTTCAATGATCATTATTGATGATTTTATATGGAGAAAATAACATAGTTCTTGAAACATTTTCAGTAAATTACAAATTAATTGCAAACTACATGTTTGATTTACTTACAAACTAGGTATTTGGATTTAAGTTTTATTTAGTAAAATAATTTTCTGAATCAAGAGTTTCAGAATACAAGTTGAAATTATATGAAGTTTTGTGAAATAAAAGTGTTTTTTTCTTGTTTTAGTTATTAAAATTTTAATTATTTAACTGTTAATACAAGTTTTCTTTTTTGTAAATTATTCAGCAGTTTTCAAAAGAACACTTTTAAATTTTTGAATGAGTTTTAGTTGAAGGAACTAGAGATAATAACTTATTTGAACAGTGACCTTGATAGTTGATAGACCATGATAGAAATTTTTGCTATTCAATTGTTAATGCAAGTTTTCTTTTTTGTAATTTATTCAGAAAAGTGTTCAAAAGAATATTTTTAAATTTTTAAATGAGTTTTAGTTAATGGAACTAGAGATAATAACTCCTTTGAACAATGACCATGATAATATTTATAGAAAAGAGAAAGAGATGCAGCCTTATAGCAATGTGAGAGTGGCTAAAGCTTGGCAGATAGAGCAGGTCCAACTATGTTTACAATGGGTTTTAAGACCTTGTCTAAAAGAAGAAAAGCATCATTAGAATAGTCAGTCCAAATATGACAAGAGTATTTCATACAGGGGTGAATAAGAGATTTGTAAAGGTAGAAAATAAATCAGGAGTAAGATATTGGTGAGCAAAATAAAAATGTTAACTTCGTAATGAATTGTATATATGTTTTCCATTAAAAGTCAGTAGTGAATGATAATGCAAAAAAACACATGGAAGAGGGCTCCAAGATAAGGTTACCATTTATTAAGTCAACAATATTGGAATAGTAAACAACTGAGTTTTGTTCGAACACAGTTGTTTACTAGTCCAATATTGTTAACAGAACAGTAGTAGTAGCATATTCTTTAAACCTTTTTTTTTTTTTTACCTATGTAAAAAAAAAAAAAGGTTTAAAGAGTTACTAATTAGAGAAGACTTCTATTTTCCCTACATAAAATGGTTACATGGGTATGATATATTATTCTTGAGTCCTTAATAAAAGTAGGAGGAGGGATGTTTATTAGTTTTTGGAAAACTTTGCCACCCACCCTATGCTTATTAAGGCCCCTCTCTCCCCTTCCTTCCCCCACCATTTATTATTTTTTACTTGTTACCAATAAAAACTAAAAAAAAAAAAATTCAGTTAAAATCCGCCTTAAATAATTAGAAAATAATTATTTTAGCCATCAACAAAAACAAAAACTTTCAGTGTAATGACCAAGTAAATCTTGATTTTTTGAAAATGAGCTTTTGATTTATTTCTCACCAAATTATAAAACTTAAACCAGTATATTAAATCCTATTGAAATTTTCATGTTACAATTTTTTAAAAATATTTTAACATGAACCCCCTCCCCCATTGATTGACTAAAATTTCTACCCTCCCTCCTCCCTTCCTTCACCTTTTGTTCCCACTAAGCCCCCACCCCCATTCCCCATCCTTGTATTAAGGACTCAAGAGTAGTAGATGCCAGTACCAATTCACTTGATAACCTTGAAAAGTTTACTTCCATTCGGTAATTTTTTAATTTAATTTTAGCTGACGATTTGCAGATATTATTAATAAACCTTAAAAACCTAAAACTAAACAAGCTTGAAAACTTTTTGAAAAGAACTTAGTAAAAAATAAAAAACATTTTTTAGGTATGCAAATAGTCAAAAAAAAAAGTTAAAACAGTGATAAAAGCAATAAGATGGCTTAAAAACAATCAATGAGTCAGCTAAAATCGCCAAAATTTTAAACGAACAATAGTTTAAAAATTTAAATTTAACAGTTATCATAGAGAGTAACGAGCAGCCACCAGTTTGCAATAAAAAGTAAATTAATAGAAATAAAAAAGATATAAACAGAATAAAGACATAAACAAATAGTATAATTACTTTAAAGTTCAATAACAGATAAAGCTAGTGGTCCAGACATGGTCAATCCAAGTGTACTTGAAAACTGTGATAAAGAAATAGCTCTGCCAATAAAATAATATTCAAGAAATTAGTTGAAACAGGCTAACATACAAATCAACGGTTAGCAGCAGATGCTAATCATTCTCTGCTATACAAAAAAAAAATAGAGATAAGCTAAAAGCCGTTACTTAAAGACCAGTATTGGTGACATTTATTCCATACAAAATCGATATTCAAAAAATCTTGCATTACAAGTTTGCTAGAAAAGCTAGTTTTTATTTCAAATTCTTTAGCATATGGTAACCCAGTTGATGTTATTTATTTAACCCAGTTTGATGTTATTATAAGATTACTAATCAAACTAGCAACTTACAGAATAACATAAAAACTGTTAAAATGTTAAGTAAAAAACCATGTGAAAACTGGAATTTTTTTTGACATGGATGTTAATTTTTAGCAGCAAGGCTCAGTTTTAGGAGCTTTATTATTCATGATATATATAAATGACATACCAGAAAATATGAAAAGTGTAATAAAAATGTATGCTAATGATACAAAAATGCATAAGTTGGGAAGAAGAATCCAAAACAGTTCAATCAGATTTAGACAACAGATTTGAATGGTCAAAAAAATGGCAGCTAGATTATGGTTCAATGTAGACAAACTTGTCATGCATTATGGTTCAAAAATCAAAAAGAAAAGTAAATGTGGCTAATCTAAAAATGTAAAAAGATAAATAAGAAAGTGACTAAGGTGTACATTCCTCAAAAATGGAAAAATCATAAAGAGATCTGCAAAGCAAACCTAGTCCAATAATTAGTATAATTAGAAAGACTTTCAGTTGACATAAAAATGCTTAGAGCACTATAACCAACTAATGAAAAAACCTATTATTTTTGCCTGGCAGAAGAACACAAAAAAATTAAATGAAATATTCAAGAGAAATAATGACGCAACCCAAGTCATAATAGCTTAGCAAACAGATTGGCACACATGAAATAATCTTACAAAAGAAGCCATTCAAACAAAAAACAAATAAATTCAAGGCTGAAATAAATTTAGCAATTAACAATTGGATTAGATAATCATGCTATCATAGTATGTGAGACATATTTCCAGTCACAACAACATCTATTATTATTACTACTTTTCAGTAAATAAATCTGGGATGATAACTGCATTTAATCATGGTTAATCGGCTTAAGTTTAAATGGTTAAAAAGTGTTTTATAATTAAATGAATATGTTAAAGAAAGCTTTGTTTATATGAATGATTATCTTTTCAACTTGATTATTCATTTTTGCTAATAAGTTTTACTATCATTTGTAAATAGATCATAAATCTGTAATTGACATGTAATATGGGTCTATATAAAATATAAATACACAACCAATTCACATAAATAGCATTCAATTTTTTAAATGTGACTCAATAAAAATGACTTATTACCAAGGTGTTATAGAAATCTTATTTGAATTATATTTTTGCTTTTAAATTATCTAAAATGAAAATATATTTGGAATTATATCCTGTGTAATTCAATTAGATTTAAAGTTTCATTGCAAAAATTGGTAATTTCAAAGTGAATGATTCGTGAAATTTTTTTGACGCAATTTTTACACACAAAGTTTGTTATTATTGACGCATAAAACTTAAATTAATAATAAAACAGAAAACCAGCTAAAAGCTTAAAATGAGAAGTAAAAATAAACCTAGATATGAATGGCATCAAGACATTTTCAAGATGCTAAACAAGCCTCCAAGTACTGTCAAAATAAACCTAGATATGAATGGCATCAAGACATTTTCAAGATGCTAAACAAGCCTCCAAGTACTGTCTACATTGTGATTAAATGTTTTCAAATGACTTTTAGTGTTAAGAGGAAGCTTGGCAGTGGTTTAAACAGGTCAGTTTGAACTCTTCAGTTGATCAAGCCTGTCAATGGATGAATATCTAGGAATCTAGTAAGGTCAATGGGGAAAATAGCTAAAGAGTTCTCAGTGAGTGAGAAAACCACCAGAAACATGGTCAGAAAGGTTTCTGAAACTCATTTTTTCATTATCATCATTCATAAGATTTATTTTAAATAGTTCTATTTTATCTTCTATATGTTTATATCTTATTAAATTATCTTCTATATGTTAAATATTGTCAGGTTCAAGAATAGTAAAAATATGTTTAGAAACCATGTACTTGATTTTTTTTTCATCAGCATTGATTTTTTATTTGCTAATTTATTTTTTTGCAAAAGTATAGTAAGAGGCCTAATCAAAATGTTTCAAACACAAAAATTCTATTTTAAAAGTATTTTGATATATAGTATTTTAATAGTATCAAATTTTAGGATAAATGATATACTTTTTTTTCTTCAACAGAGAGCAGTAATGGCTGAAAGAAGAATTGCAACACAGCATACAACTTCCTCTAGGTAAACATTTTTAATTAATATTTTCAGATTTCAAAATTTTTATGTTTTAACTACTCATTTAATAATAGTATTAAATTTGTTACTGACACATAATTTGTTACTGACACATAATTTGTTACTGACACATAATTTGTTACTGACACATAATTTGTTACTGACATATAATTTGTTACTGACATATAATTTGTTACTGACAGATAATTTGTTACTGACACATAATTTGTGATTGCAAGAAAACTCCTTGTTGCTAAATTTTTTCTCACTATCTTATTTTAAATAGAGCTCACAATGTTAAATTAAACAATCGTGGCTTAGATCCATGCAAGCAATAAGAATTTACTCTTCCGTCAGCCATCTTTGTACACAATTTTAATGTCATTTTAGTGTTTCTCTATTAAGACTGCATCTATTAAGGTTAAGCGAAGTTGTATCTAATGTTGCAGTATATTTTTAAAAATGCAGATAGAAAAATAAAAAACATAAAAATGTTATGCTTTCTAATTATAATCCAAGTAATAATTAATTTAAACATAATATTTCTAGAAAGAATCAACTTGTTTGTTCATACATACATAAAACTGACTCAGGATGCATTCTCGGACTGTTTGCATCAGTTTTAAACTGAAAATACAGTGGAAATAAGTGACATAATTGTGCCAAAGTAGTTTTTACATTGACTAGTATTAGTTTGCACAAGTGTAAATAAGTTAAAAAAAAAAAATTTTTTTTTAACTTATTCATGCTTCACAAATTTTGACTCACATAATTATATTCACACTTATGTAGTTTCATGTATATGCAATATGCCTAAAAGAAATAAGAAACACTAGGATGTAATTAATAAACACTAGTATGTAAATCTGCTTAAGCGCAAGTAAGTTTCTTTAAAGCATTCTTTCTTTAGAAAGAATGCTTCAATGAAACTCTTGTATAATTTATGCAAAAAATAATTTAAAAAGCAAATCTATTTGTAAAATGCTAAAAATTTCCAAATAAATTACAAAAGTTACAAGTATATAATAAGTGTCATTCAAAACACCAAATATTGAAAATTGTCTAATTTATGTTATAAATATATCACTCATTTCTTTAATCAATATCAACAAATATTGAAAATCATATAGTTAGTGTTATATATTTTTTCCGTAATCCAAGCTCTTCTTGTCATACTTCCCTTGACCAATAATTTTATAAGTTTCTCATTGTTTGAAGATGTTGTTTGGTGTTGAACTTTGTTAAACTCTTTCTGTTGTTGTATTTAATAGTACAACAATTGAAAATATTTCTGTTATTGCTTAAATATACGTAGCAAGTACAAATAATAATAATAGTACAACAATTGAAAAAATAATCTGTTATTTCAGCAAGTTTATTTCAAAGTGCTTTGTTATAACAAACAAGACATTATTGTTATTTTTTAGTGTAGAAATCTCTCAGTTTGTATTTTGCAATAGTATGAATTATTTACTGTTATAGATGTAGCCAAGTTTTTTTAGATGTTTAAAATAAACAACTTAAACATGAAGTGAACTCTAAATTTAAATATGTTCATTTCTATAATGAATCAGGATGTCAGAATGAAAAAGTTACAGTAGTTAGAGACCGGAGACAGTAAAAACCCCAAATTATTAACTCGAGTTCTTAAAAAAACAATGTTAAGTGGTATTATAAACAACTAATAGATATAATAGATATATAATAAATAAATCATAATAAAAATTCATGTATGTATTAAACATAAACATGTCACATAGAATATACGTAACATGCATATATGAATAAAATTTGTCAACATTTAAACACTTTTTCAACAATATTTCATTCAAAATTGATAAACTTACATGTTCTCAATCTCCAATAATCATATGCTTATGATTTTTTGCCCATTTCGATCTCTTTTTTATCATTGCTGGAGTTAGCCTTGGTTTTTTATCCAGTTTGTGTGATTTTAAACCATCTTCAGCCAGACACCTCACTGTGCGTTCTGAAACTTGTATTCCAGACTCGTGAACAAGTTTTGTCAGGAAGAGGGATGACTTTTTTCTATTTTTTAGACAAGTATCTCTTATAATTCTGTCTGTCCTGGGAGTGGTTTTATGTTTTGAACCACTCTGTTTTTTCCTTTTTGGAGAAAGAGTGTTTTTTTCGTTTTTCATTCTGTGTTTGATTTTATTGACAAAACTTTACATATTTTATCAATCTCCCATTATGAATGCTTTGAATGCTGTAAAAGTGCTTTACTTTTGAAGTTTTGCTCGGACTTATGTCTTTACCCTTACCCATGTTTATTTTTTATTTAAATTTCAATTACAACCTATTACACTAAAAATGTTAATAAAATGCTACTATATATTAATTCCCATTTATTGTAACTTTATAAAATGTATTAAAATAATAAGACATTTTTCAATCGAAAAAAACTGTTAAAATGTTAAAAAATTGTATGTGACAGATAAACCACGTTCTTTTTAAAATTGACAAAAATTCACATTGCTGAAATAAAACACACATAACTTCACATTGGTCATCTTCATGATTATAAGAAGCGTCAAATCTTGATTGTAAAGTGTTTTGCCAAAAACAAATAGAAAATAATTGGAAGAGAACTCTTAAAGGTAATGTGAATGATTGATGATTTTGGTCATCTTCATGATTATAAAGAAGCGTCAAATCTTGATTGTAAAGCGTTTTGCCAAAAAAAAAAGAAAATAATTGGAAGAGAACTCTTAAAGGTAATGTGAATGATGAAGATTTAGATGTGTTTTATTTTCTAGAATTTCAATAGTTTTGATTTTTTAAGAAGTTTTAAGAAGTTGCAATTGATATTTTCTATAAATATAATGGTGTGCAATAGGAAAATATGCTATATGTTAATATTATACAATGTATTAAGTGATGTATGGAACTTCCTGTTTTCAAATTTATATAATTAGTTATATGCGTTATGTTACAGATTGGTTCAGAAAAGAAGAGAGCCATAATTTTTGCTACCCTGCGAGTTCGGTGACAACTGATGGACGAACTCAAGCAACATCTATTTATACATTGTTAATCCCAATAAGCATTGCTCAATTAATTGAATGCTGAGCTTCTGAAATCCAGGCTCAAACAGTGGGATTTCTTTGGTAAAAAAATCACTAAGCATTTTCCAACTTCTTTAGTCAGAATGATGGAGTTCATCCTGGAATCTTATTTCGTATTGCTTCACAATGGACAAAACTACTATCTGATGGCTCGCTCTATGCATAACAAATAGAACTATACTACCTATAACATTGCTGAGTGTTTTGAAGTATGAAGACTGCAGGTGGGAAATCATTGGAGACTTCAAAGCAGTGCTATTTCTCATGTGCTTTCACGGCGGTTTCACAAAATATTCTTTTTTCCACTTCCTTTGCCTCTGGGACAGTTGTGACACTGAAGAGCACTATCACAGAAAGAACTGGTTACAACGGGAGTTGCTGATAAATAAGATTTTATCAGCAACTCCCGCTTCACATTGCTCTTGAACAAAGAGAACTCAGTCAGTTGTAACCAGTTCTTTCTGTGATAGTACTCTTCAGTGTCACAACTGTCCCAGAGGCAAAGGAAGTGGAAAAAAGAATATTTTGTGAAACCGCCATTCATATATTATGTACGCCATTCATATATTATGTACGCACAGGAAGGGGTGTCCCAAATTGAGTAACTTGCGTTCGAATGCGTATAGAGAAGGAGGGGAGGGTCCAACAAATGTATGTACGCAAACGCAAAAAGTAAATGGAATTGGTGGTAGGGGGTTAGACCACCCAGCATATGAAACTTATATGGGTAAGACCACCAAGCATACGGATGCATAAGGAGGGGGAAGTTTAAAAAAATGTACTAGGTGGAACAAGGGAATAGTAGGGGTTCCTTTTTTGCGTACGTAATATACGGATGGCCCCTTATGCAATCACTGCACACCAAGTTAGGTCTCATCAACCTATTTATCACAGCTCAAGGCATTGTCATTGACAAGGAATTGGCACCTTTGAAATCCTTTTCCGAAGCTATCTTTGTCAGACCACAGATCAAGAAGGTCATAGAATGTGATGAGAACAGGACAGAAAGCAGCTTGGAAAGGTTTTGTTATATTTGTTCATTCTTTGTCTATTCAATTGACAATTGTTGTCTATTATCGTTATTTCTTAACGGACCAAATAAACGAAAAAATTAAATTTTTTATTTTCTGTTTCAATGAAAACGAATTTTCTTTGTGCTGCGTTCATAAAATTAATGTTGACAAAGGTGATTCTACAAGTAAAATGAGGGGGGGGGAGGGGGACTCCTTAAAAAGTACCAAGTGGTTCCTTTAAAAAAAAAAAAAAGGTCCTTAAAACTAAAATTTATATGACTGAGTTGTGTCAAATACCCGACTAGCCGACTAAATTTGTAAATAAACTGACTATAACTTGAAAATCACCTTCTTTGGGAAGGTGGAACATAACACCCCTCTAACTCCTAAAATTGCCTCTGAATGTTGTGCTCAATGCAATCATTTTTCCACATCCCTCAAATGCAAACAATAAAAGTATAACACTTTTAATCGAAGAACAATAATTGTGTTATATTTTATTACTTTTATAAAACATTTATAGATCAGTCAAATTAGGTTTTGATCCGGAAAAAATTAGCAGCAACCTGAAAATTGCTGTTAATGTTCTGATGTTCTGTATGCACTCCTGATTAATATTAGAAAAATCGGCCAAAATCGGAGTGGGCTTTATCTAAAATCCATGATGGTGTCCAAGATGGCATCCAAATTATAGTTTGTAGTAGCTAAGTTTGTAGATCACTTAGAAACATGATTCTTTTGTCTACTATTTCGTTTATGAGGTCAAAAAAATAATTTCTGACCTTTTTATTTTATGAAAAAACAAAATGGTTGTCAAAATCCAAGATGGCGGCCAAAATTGAAATGTTCAATATCTAAGCTTGTTGATCAAATTAAAGTACAATTTTTGCGTCAAGCGTTATGTTTGTCATGTCAAGCAATTCATTTTTCACAATTTTATTTTAGTGAAAAAAAATTATTGTTAATATCCAAGATGGCTGCCCAAACAGCAATCAAACTAAAATATGAAAGTTTGTATATCTTTTAAAAACAATTTTTGTATCTTGTAATTTGTCATTGAGGATACAGATGTAGCATACCGAATCTGAATTTTCAATAAATGTTTTATAAATATCAGTATACAAAGTATACTTTATATGCCGATATGTATAAAACATTTATTGAAAATTCAGATTCGGCATGCTACATCTTTGTTTCCTACACATGCTAAATCTTTGTTTCAATTACAAGTAATTGTTCATGGTAAACTCACGGTTATACAAGTCTTTAAGAAATTTGCTTGGAAGAAAATGTTATTGTGTATACAAATATTAAATAAAGAAATCAGAACCTTTAAACTATATCACATCGTATTTTGAATTATTATTTCAAAATGTTACAAAATTATCATAATTATATTATCTCAAACTTTAATGTATTTGATTGTAAATTGTTCGTATTAGGTCTTCATCTGAACAATTGAGACCTCCATTTGCGTCATTGTCATAATCTTTATCTTCATCAGATGTATCAGCATCATTTACGTTTGCAGGATTAGAGCAATCCACTCCGTGGCATGACCCACGCATTGATGAGCAATTCAAACCACCTAAATACAATTAAATAACTATTAAAGGCCGTTTTCAATTATTGCAAATCAACTACTACAGAAATGCATTATTTTGTTAGAAAGTTTTCGGTTATTTTAATCGCTTTTATCATTATATTTATTATTCATAACATTTACCTTTTTTACATTCACTAAATTTACCTAATTTTTTACATTCGCAATTTCTAATGCATCTAGTTTACAAGTTTTTAAAAAAATTGCGTACAGCTCATAAGAAGAAAAAAATTTTAGCTGGCGGTTAAAGATTTGATGTTCGTAAGAGATTTGATACTATTATTTCCCAACCTCATTCCAGTAGATCCAAGATATAACTGACTTATTGTTGATGGTTGACACAAAATGAATGTTGCTTTGCTACGGAAATTGTTGGAGATAATACAGCTAAATCAAATGTTTTGTTAACTAGATTTGATGCTACTCAGCGAAGATACTAATAATAATAAAATCAAGTGAAATTGACTTCGTTTTCGTTTTATTGACTTTCGTTTAGTAACGATGTTTATCAAATGAAATTTTTCTCCGGCATTAGCAATTTCATCGTGAAATTTCATCTGCTGAAACTGTTTTGGACTTGCGTTATCTGTGTTCTTCTGATTTGGTATTAGGTAGACTATCAGAATAGCCAAAAACAACTCAACAGTTTTTCCCATATTGATGTAGCACATATGATATGTAACATTTATATATATCTTAATATGTTGCTGGTCTCATCCATACAATGTGGTGAAGTAGATACCCTCCATCGATGACAAGTTTTGAAACAAGTGTTGTTTCGTCGCATGGCACAACTGATTCTATTGTATCACATAGAACTGCTTTTGAACTTTTGCATTAAAAGCGACTTATCAAAACGTGCTGGAGGCGTCGGTGCCAACTCATACTTAAAACATGCTGCAGGTTCTTTATCCATCCGTTTTAAATAAATATTGGCAAAATTCATTCTAACTATTATGTTCATAGCATTTATGCAAGTTTCAACTGCTCTATCACAGTAAATTTTATTATCGCCCACTTTACCTTTGGAAAGTGAGATCAGTTCAAGTCGGGCGCACAAAATGGTTCTTTGGCTTTTATCCATCCAATAAAGCTGTTGGTATCGCAAACGTCAATATTCTTCTGGAGACATTCTGGACTTAAGCTTAATTTGTTATAATTATAAATAAGTAATTAGCGGTTTATGTTTCAACAATGAATTTATATACTGTGTTAGAAGCCTCAAACGAATTACAGTTAAGAAATAATAGCTTATTAGCGTGCTATGAACCGCGCGTTCTAAGCCGCATCGGAATTGATGTTATAATATAGTTTACGTTGTAATTAGTTTTTCAGATTCACAGTCAGTTGTTTAGAAATATAATAAGTTGAAAGAGAAGTATTTCTTTAGTGTCACTGGGAAACAAGAATAAACTCTTCACAATTGTAATTAATATGATTATTTATAAATTAACTTAATTTAGATTTCAGTTTAGAAACGTAGAGCTCATCAGAGAACAAACTTCACTCATTAAACAGTTAAAAATTGCTACATTAAATCATTGATTTCGATATATAACAAATATAACATAATAATATAACAAATAATTTCTGATTTCAAATGAATATGAGCTCACAACATTGTAAGTGTATTAAAAAGCGTATATGTAAAGTGTATTAATTTTAGAATTTTTTTGGCCGCCATGTTTTAGCTGTTTAGCTCAAAAATAAAAAATGTCGAAAAATGAATTTCTTGACCTCAAAAACATAATACTAGATGCAAGAATCATATTTCTTAATCATCTATAGGCTGAGATATTACAAATACTATTTTGGATGCCATCTTGAATTTCAGACAAAGCTCCAGTCTAAGTTTGGCCGATTTTATCCAAAATTAATAAGGAGTGTATGCTGAACATTTCCAGCAATTTTCAGTTTGCTCCTAATTTTTTCTAGGTAACATAACTTTTTTTGCTAATTTTACTAAGCTATTAGCAACTACTCTTGAGTCCTTAATACAAGGGAGGAGGGAGAGGGTGATAAAATTGTGGGAATTTTAGTCCAGATCTATAATAAACGGAGGGTTTTAATAAAATTGAGGGGGGGGGGGATTTTTTAATGTTACAATATAAGTATTTTTGTTCAGTTTTTTAAGTTTTTAAAAAGGGATTTAATAGGTTGGCAATTCTTAAAATCTGTTTACACTGAAAGTTTTTGTTTTTATAAGTGACTGAAAGAATTATTTTCTAATTTTTAAGGCCGATTTTTAATGATTTTTTTTTTAGTTTTGAGGTATAAAGTGCTTGTTGATAACAAGTAAAAATTGATAAATGAAATAAGTAAAAATTAATAAACGTCTTAATAAGCTTGGGGCTCGGGGTAGGTGGGAAATTTTTCCGAAAATTAATAAAAGTCCCCCCCCCCCCCCTCATTTTTAAACTTGTGAAATTTAATGTTTTCGTTAAAAAAAAATTAACTTTAAGAGAAATAATATTGGCTTATAATCCAATATAGGCCGCACTGACGATCCAGGGGGGATGGGGTATGCATCCCCCCCCCTCCTCCACCTTCAGAATCTGAAAGTCCTAAAATATCTTAGAAATTGAAGACTTTTTCTTTTTAGGAGGCGCAAATGTGGTACAAAATGCAAAAATATTTCAACATCACTCTTCGCATTCCCCCCCCCCCTCGACGTCCCCCGTCCCCCATTCTCCTTCCCCATTCTTTTTAATATATCTTTTGAATCTCGGATAGAACTTACTGCTACTTTTCATATCTTTTGAACGTTAAAATGATTTTTATTAAAATTGAAATCTATTAATGAGCTTTGATTTTTTTTAAGTTTAATAAAATAGTGGGAGACAAAGGGAGGTATACAACATGATTCCTTTTAAAAATTGATTTTCTAATTGAGGAGTACGCCAAATAATTTGTTATTTTCATAATTTTCAATGATTTGTATATTAAGTCCTAAACAGTTTAATATAAAAGTTGGAGTTTTCAACATAAAAGCAACTTTTCAACATAAACGACAAATTTGATTAGAGGGTTGTTTTTTATTTTAAAAATTCTTTGAATTTTTTTATCAATTTTTTTTCCAATATATTTTAGGTGCGCTCGTTGTCGAGTAGCGATAGATGACAAAAACGCATTCGAAAAGTACGGTTTTAAATATTGCTGTATGAAATGTGTAAATGAACATAAATCTTTTATAGGAAAGTAATTATTTTTACGAATAATGATACTGTTGCTTTTTTTTTACGATGATTTAATTGCTTTTATTTTTATAAAGAAATGATTGTTTTTATTGGTGCATTATTTTAAAACTTACTATCAGGACCAGTATGATGCGGGTAGGTCCATGTTGCTTACCGTACCAATTATTCTTTTTTAATTATCATTATAAATAAAAACACTTTACTTTATTATAAAACAAAGGTATATAAATAACGTAAGTAGCACAAAATAACACTCGCATATGTGATTATACGGGTGTTTTTTATATTACTTTAACCTGCTGTAAAATGCGGGAATAAAGGGTTCAGAGTCAGAAGAGTTGAGCTTTAATACATACATCGATAGATTTAGGGAGAACACACAAAGGAATGCTGCTACATTGACTAAGGGTTTGGGTTGGGGCAGCGAAATGGTTAGGGGTTAAGAAAAAATTTTACGCACTTAATTTCCGTATTTTACCCGTTAAGAATTTTCGCTACATTAGGAAGAACACAATAAATCTACTTCAAAAACAACACAAAATCAATTACTACTCTAAATATAAAAAGTGTAACAATAAGTTAATATACAAATAGATGAGGTATAATATAATATATACTTGATTTTATTTACATAAAAAATTCCATAGCAAGCTTTCTAAACTTACTTATAAAACTCCATAGGAGGTTTAATACAATATTCCGTACCAAGCTTTCTAAACTTACTTATAAAATTCCATAGCAAGCTTAATAAATTTACTAAACTTACTTAAAATGTTATTGTATAACTGAAACAAAAAACACGATTCTAACAAAAATATAAGCATATAACAAAGTTTTGTACTGTTATTTGAAAAACCAAACAAACAACATTAATCTAAATATAATAACAAAGTATAATAATAAAATGTAAAGAATAAATAATATTACAAAAGATTTAAAGTTCTTTAATTATAAAAGCAATGAAAATGTTTTTATCTTTTCAGCGATATTTTTTGTTTTTAAAAATTTCTGTGTCAAAACACGCACGAACGAGCGTAAGTATCGTAAAACGGGGAAAATAGGGAAAGTAAAGTAAATAGGAACAAAGACCAGGAATATTTTTTGGATGTCTACAAAGTGACAGGGACAGTAAATAGACCAGTGAAACTTTTTTTTCAATCAAAAATGACTAAGGCCCATATTATTGGTAACATTTTTATTAACCTGTGACATTACCTATTGAAGTAAGTCATGTTAAAAAATAAGCCCAAAAGTGTGAAAATAAGTATGAAAAGCTTTTCTCGGCACAGATAAAAATACTGAAGAAGGTGTGATTGTGAAACTTTACCAAATTTTATTTTCAAATGAAATTTCTCACAGTTTCATAAAATTGCATAAGTAATTTTATGAAAATGTGAGAAATTACATGTAATTTCTCACATTTACATTTTTCTTACATTAAGGTGGTTGCCCAAGAAATAAATCTTGATTTTTTTTGAAATTTTTTTTTTTTTTTTTTAATGTTTTTTATGAGCAGAATTTTATCCTCTTTAAAATGGTATATGAATCTCATATGTATAATTTATATAAAGTCTTTTATTTCTAATTTTTATATAGTGGTATATAAAGTTTTTTCTTCACATTTTTGTTTTTGACATTTTTCTTCATTTGTGACTTCAATTGAAGTGTCAAATATCTTGGGTTTACCTCTTCAAATAATCATCAACTGCGTATCAAAGTAATGTCGTTTGGTGTATCTTAGGTTTTATGGATTTTAATAAACTAAAAGTCATTATTTGAATGGATATTTTTCGTTTTGACCAACGTGATGCAACATAAAATATACTATTTATTAGATTTTTATGAATGTTTATTGTGGTTTAATGACTTATTTGTATTTTTCTTGGTTCTTACTCTTTTAGACTTAAATATATAATAATGGCAAAAGGAAATAAGCAAAATAATGCAAGAAAACTTAAAAGAAAGGCTCCTCTCAATCATTTTAGAAAACAGCAAAAAAATGATCTATTGGTCAAAACAAACAGTTTAAATACAATAAGCATGTGTTCTAGTGCAAAAAAACTAAATATGGGTATTCAGAATCATTTGAAGTGTCAAGACCTGTATGACTATAATATCCTTATTAACTTCTCTGTTCTCAAAAATCTATTTTTAGAGATAGCTTGTCCAAAATGTCATATGCTAACCATTAATTTATTTGATAACACACAAAAAAGAATGGGATTTTCACATAATCTCGAGTTAAAATGTACATCTTGTGACCAATGGAGTCATACTGTTTATTCATCTAAAGAATGTGTAAAGAATAGCAGTAATACCACTGGAAGAAGTATATTTGAAGCAAATGCAAGAGCGGTGATAGCTTTTCGAGAGATTGGTCGAGGTCATTCAAGTATAAACACATTTACTCAATGTATGAACATGTATGGTTTAGCCAAAAACGCTTTTGATAACCTAAACTCAAATGAAATATATAAAGCATACAATGATGCAGCTTTAAAAAGCATGAAAAAAGCTGCAGAGGATCTTCAAGATTCTTCTGATGGTCCAACACAACAACGTATAAAAATAGATGGAGCGTGGCAGAAAAGAGGCCATTCATCTCTTAATGGATTTGTTACTGGTATTGTTGAAGATAAAGTAGTTGATGTACAAGCTTTTTCTAAACACTGTAAGGGTTGCCTTATGTGGGAGAAACAAAAAGGTTCATCAAGTTATGATAGATGGAAAGCAAAACATGTATGTAATATTAATCATGTTAAGTCGTCTGGTGCTATGGAGGGAGCTGGTGCTGTTAAAATCTTTGAACGTTCTGTGGAAAAGAACAGCCTTATTTACAAAGAATATTTAGGTGATGGAGATTCTTCGTCTTATAAAGAAGTCATAGCAGCAAATCCCTATAAAGATTTTGGTATAACACCTCTCAAATTGGAATGTATTGGGCATGTTCAGAAGCGCTTAGGTACTCGTCTTAGAAATCTTGTGAAATCACATAAAGGTACAAAGAATCCCATATCAGGAAAGGGGAAGTTGACTGAAAAAACAATTAACTCAATGCAAACCTATTATGGAAAAGCAATAAGAAACAACTTAAACAATGTTTATGCCATGAAAAAAGCAATCGGCTCAGTGTTGTTTCACTGTACTGCGTTTACCGATGAGAACCAGCGACATGAAATGTGTCCACGTGATGACACTTCTTGGTGCAAATGGCAGTTAGATAAGACTAATAAGACAAAAACATTCAAAAACACCATTAGTTTACCAATGTCCATTCATTACCTTTTAAAACCGATCTTTGTAAGTTTATCAGACGACGAGTTATTGAACAAATGCGTTCACGGGCAAACTCAAAACACTAATGAATCGTTCAACTCAGTTGTATGGACTCGATGTCCCAAGAATGTTTTTATTGAACGAAGAACATTTGAATGTTCAATTAACTCAGCTATTTTACATTATAATGATGGGAGTGGCGGGGTTAATGCAGTTTTAGGACATTTTGGCTTACATGGAAAGGCGACTGCTGATAAATCTATTGCACGAGATTGCCAACGTGTTACTAGGATGGAAAAGCGATCAAGTCCAATCGTTAAAAAACAAAGAAAAAAATTAAGAGCATTCAAAAAAGGGTACATGGATAAAGAGAATGAAAGTGAAAAGTGTGAATCTTACACTGCTGGTGGTTTTTAACATCTTTTTCTTATTATTTTAGACAAAAACTTGATTTTCTCATGTTTATGGTTTTACATAATTTTTAAAATTTTAAAACATGATATCTCAAGATTGAATGGATAAAATGAGTTGAAATTTTCAGGAAATGCTCATATATTATATATAATCCATACATCATAGGCTTTTTCTTTATTGAGGTAAAAAACTTCTTAATTTGTAAAATTTATACAAAAAATACTATGCTTTAAACACTCTTTTTACTAATAGAAACATAACTTTTGACTAAGTGAGTCAATAAAAAAATTGATGTGTCAAATGGATTTTACTATCGTTCTTAAGCTATGATGAAAATTTGAAGTAGTAACTATCTTCACATCTGCAGATGTGAAGATAGTTAAAACACAATATGTTTTAAAATATTTTAAAACACAATATGTTTTAAAATATTTCATTTTTTTGTCTCATTTTAGCGATAAAATAGGGTAATCGAGACAAAAAAATGGTTTGGTGTGTTTGAAATATTTTTTAAGTTGAGACCAGCCATTTATACCAAAATTTGGTTAATTAAATTCACAGGGTCAAAAAAAAGTTTATTTCTTGGGCAACCCCCTTAATCTATACACAACATACACTTAATGTTAACTGATATATTTGATCTGATTTCAAGTTTAAATAATATCCAATACTACTGGTAAGAATTAAGGCAGTTGCGCAAAACTCAGGAAAGAAGCAAAAATTGTTCAAAATCAAATCTTGGCCGAATTAATCAAGTTTTGTATTCGGAAGAGTCTTGAAATATTTCTGCGTCCTGCAAAATTTGGAAATGGATCTCTTTTTGTTTTCCTCAAGTTTTGAGGAAAAATCACTGTTCAGCTTTTCTCAAATAGTAATGTACAAATCAACCGACTCTTGAATGTTAAAATGTTTTGAAATCCAATATAAACTCTAGAAAACAGTGGCAGTCGCCATTTTGTTAATACCATAAACAGTTGTACTCGTATCAACTTTTTTATTGTTAATTTAGAATATACTGTAGTTTAAATTTATTTCAGTTTCATTTCAAATAATAATGAGTTAAATAAACGGTGTTCATTTTTGTACTTTCACAATTTAATTTGTATGAACTTTTATTGCTAATTTGTGTTCATTATATGCAAATGTGCCTCATTTATGTTTTTACATTATCTTACTTTACAAAAAATCTGTACTTTTGATGCTCAGAATCTTTTTATAACTTATGATAAAAACTTTATTAATTGTTTTTATATAGTCAGAGAAGATTTTGTTTAATGGTGTGATGTTAAATCTGTGTATCCTGATATTGAACACTTTAGATAGATGCACACGTT